GGTCGTTCGTTCACTACCCAACTACTTCATACCGTCATGCCTTACCAGGGTGGAATCCAAAGGGCCGGCACTATCAAATGATGTAGTTTTGACGGGAAAAAAACATGTGCCAAGGCTAAATGAAAGAGGAAGTAGAAGAGCAAAGACAACGGCAGTGGAAGGCATGTAATTACAACGCATTAGAAACTGTACAGGTGAGCAAGCATAAAAACGTCGAGCGGAAATGCTTTCAAACTGGGTTCACCGGCGCGCTGATGGTGTGAGTAGTCAGCCACTTCTGAGAGAACGTCTGGAGCAGACGTTCCGAAAAGGCCAGATAGAAGAGGGAGGAGGATCGCGCGTCCGTAGCAATGGCGGCCAAACTAGAGGGTTTAGCGGACGGCGATTGTGCATCCGTTGGGGAGGCGAATGAGAGCAACCGGTGGATCGCTGGGACGGAGACAACAGTCTAGGAAGGAATATGGTGAGAGGCGTAAGGCCTCAGTGTTGGCGACATGTCAGTAGCCCAACTAGCATATCAATAATCGCAATCCTGGGGCTGACAAAAGGAAACAGCGCACGTAGGTTGCATAAAAGGAAACAACACACGAATAGTAAAACCAGGAAAAAAAATGGTACGATAGAAGGGAAGCAGGGGGTTTTAATTAGTGGATAATGCGAACTGGCGGTAGACGAAGCAAAGCCACAACAGTGGCGGCTATAGCAGAAGATAGCAATCAAGGTCTCAATGAGGGTTTTAAAATAGCGAATAAATGCTCACCTAAGGCCCTGGACGGCAATGCAGATAATCAAGTTTTCAGGATAAGACCTACTGAGAGTCATAAATTCCAAGAAAGTACACAAAGACAACGATACAATCTTGTGCTAAAATTACGCGAGTCCCCTTTTTGAACGCATTACCTGGTGAAACTGATATATGGCCGACTGACAGTTAAAGTTATCGTTGCTACACGATTGCCTGTCGTTAAAACGGACCTCGCGGTAGAGGAGCTGGACCAACACCGGGTCCACATCAGGAAGTCTACATGCGTTATTGGAAATGTGCGCCAATAACAAATGGTAAATAGGAGGGAGGTGGAATGGGTGGTAATACGGGTTCCCTGAGCATCAGCTACCTGCGCACCTTCCACCTCCGGTCATCCTGACTTGCTCACGACACCGAGTCCAGGACGAGAGTTTGGTAGATGTCGCAAAAATTTACTCTCATCATAAACGAATGTTCGGGAGAGTCACTCTTCCTGCGTTCATCATGCGCTGTTGGGTACACGGTGGGCCTCGTCGGCAACAGCGATCTAACTGTTCTGTAATTAGTGAGCAACAATACGACCAATGTACCACTGGCGTAAGTACAACAATTGCAGTCGATATGACATGGGTAAATGGTTCAACCAACAGGATTCGGCTCAATCACCAGCCGAAGAGGCATTATCGGTCCGAGGTGGGGTATTTGTTTCACAGGGCGACAGCAATGTAGGCAAAGCGGCCTATTTCAATCTTACAAAGTATTGCTACTGACAATCAATAAGTAGGTCGTATTAGTAGAAACGACAGTTTCAGAATCAGACCATATTGAAGCAAATAGACACTACATCTTAGAATTACAGACTATAAAAACGGGTAACTATGAGGCAGAATATGTTTTGCAAAGCGATGGAAGCCAAAACTTGTAAAAAGAACAGACGACTTACTCTTGAGGAGGAGAGATAGTAGTCCAGAGTTAATGCCAGTAAGGCGAAAACTAGCTGATGATCCAAGAGGGGGTTAAGCTCGTCTGGTTCATAAAGGACGATCCTAGAGCAAGAAACAATGTGAGTAAATACGTCAAGCAGAAGACAGGATGATCTGGAAAATATCTCCGTCAAGATTCGTTCGTTGCGGGCAGCGATGTCAGACACTACCCCGAGGGTGCTAGCGCAACTTGCGTTTGGATTTGTTTAAAAAGAAACAGACTTACGGTGCCTGCATTCTATTTCCTCTTCTCAAGCAAACCCATATTTCCATGGTATGACAAAGTCAAGTCGGCTGAAGTAGGGGGGGATGGGGGTGGGAGAGGGGAGAGGCGCAGTGTTTGACAAAGCTAAATAGCCCGCCTGCGCATGGTACACATGACCGAATTAATTAAACACACATTGAGTTTCATTTAAAAGATCTCGGATCGAACAAATGTCACAAAGGTCGCACAAAAATGAGCTAGTGCACTCTGATCCTCAATCCGGGGTATGATCCTACTAGGTAGCAACATTCTAAGTCACCACTGGTGGCGCATCGCGATAGTTTAGAGACCTGTTTGATAGCTAAGCATCGGATCCGAACTGGATCGAACTTTTGCTTTACTTCCGCTCTCTTACGCTCATGCCCGTCCCGAGCCAGGCCGCAGCTACAACCATAGCACTAAGTAGCCGTTCACCGCGGAATACACGCCGGCTCAGGAGCTTAGAAGTCAGAGGTGCGCGGCGCGCCAGAACGTACTGGTTCAGCGGTTGCCTCTGCCCCTTGTCCCCAGCATGTACCGGTGAAACATTTG